CATAATAATTAATTCGTGTTCTTGTTTGCATGAATTAAATCCCCAAATCAGCATTTCTGATCAGCCTAAGATACATGGGTAAACCCGAGTGGCTCTAATCCAGCCAAAGGCACTTGTAGTTGGCATTTCAGTTGGACTGTGCACCCAATCCCAGAGAAATGCACATTTTCTGGAAGACTTTGAGAAACACTGAGGCTGTTTTCAACATTTAAAGGTTCAGATACGCTTATTAAAAGTGAAGAGGCCACACATCTGTGAAGTGAAGATGGGCCATTTACCAGGTAACGGGCCTTGAATACCCTCTGAGCCTCACTTTCCTCATCTGTGAAATGGGTCCTGCTGTACCCACCTTGCCGAGGGACAGTGAGGACTGGAAGTGGTACCCACAAGAGGCCTGTGGTGCCTGCCCATCTCTCAGTGAGTGGGAGCCCACTGTTAGGAGTTTTAGTGACCATCAGGAAGCCTCTGAGGAATTCTGATATCCTCTGGGCTGTAGAATTCTTGCCCTGCCCTCTGAAGCACTCTCTGGGTAGAAGAGAAACGGCTGGGATCTGGGAATGGCTGGGGGCCACTCCTGGAGATCAGGTAGGGCTCAGGGCACAAGTGGGCTCAGGGGGTCCTTCCCCACCTGCCTAAGATCCCACCTTGGGCTCTTGACTCTAGACCCAGGAGACGGAATCAGGTCTGACCTTGTTCCCCACCTCTTCAGCCAGGTCCTGGGCTCTCTCGATGGCATCCAGAGCCTGCAAGGTGAGCACAGGCCAGGGCTGTGGACAGATCTGTCTGACAGAGGCCTCGTCTTATGGGAAAGGAGAGGGTAGGAAGAGGTCGGCGTAAGGAGGGTGTCACGGCTGGGCAGTAGCCCTGTGTGTGAAGGTAGCGGAAGGAGACTGGCCATGGGCAAGTGGACTCCTGCCTGAGCTTACTCAGATACAGAAAAGAAGAATATTCATGTCTTGAGGGGTGTTGTGACATCATGGGAGGCATTTAAATAATCCTGAGTTCAAACCCCAGCTTG